AAGGGACAGAAGCCCTTCTTGGAGCTGCCCTGGTTTGTGAAAGCATCTTCACCCAAGCGAGATGTCCCTGGTGAGCAGCTTCCCCCTGGAGCAGGAGGGAGCAGGAGGGAGCAGGAGGGTGCTGGGCCCTGGGTTGAACTGCTGGGACATTTCTGTGTGAAGCCAAGTCACTGTGCTGTCCTCAGGCAGCCTGGGCTCCTCTGCTGGCTGTGGACTGAGCTGTGAAAACACCCTGCTGAGCCTTTGTGGGGCCACTGGAAACACTCCTGGCTCCAGAGCCATTGATCCTGAACAGTTTTTAATGAGGGGCTGGGGCACAGAGTTAAACACAACCCTGTTGGGAAGGATGAAAGTTTGACAATAAATTCTCACAGATATGTGTGCTTAGCAGAAGGATTTTTAAATGTTGAGTCTGACGAAGGAATAGAGATGGAAGCAAGTTTTGATATAGAAGAAAAGAATTGCTGAGCCAGTCTTACTGGATAACCAAGGAGCCAAAGGGGTTAGTTAAAAGGGGTTTCTATGACTTAGAGCAAAGGATAAACCCACCTCAAACAAGATGTTTTTACCAAGCAGAAAGACAGCACAGGCAAACAAGTCAGCGCATGCTGCAAGTAGAAAAAAGGTCTCAGAATTTTCTACTGCAAGACAACTGAAAAACAACTTCTAGCTTAAACTGTAATGTACTGACTTTTAGTGATTGGAGAATAGTAACATGGATATGGTAATTATAGCAGTTATGATAGGCTATAGATAATGGTTAATAATGGTTAATAATATAGATAATGGTTGTACTGTATTAAAATGCTCAGCAAAGAAAAGTAAATAATGCAATGTAAACAAAAGAAAAATATATAATGCATTGGTAACCTCAACTAAGGGTCTCCAGGCCTGCCTGCAGCTGGAGCTGACAGGTGTAGGCACAGGCTCTGTCACCCACAATCCTGGACTGCTGTAACCTCTTGGATGGAATAAACTGCATTTTGGAGAGCTGCCTGGAGTCCCACACCCCTCATTTAGGCTCTTACAGACCCCCCCTCTTTCCTGCCTGGCATCCCCCTGTGCTCCTCTGGGCTGAGAGCTCAGTCCTGGCTCCCAGCAAACGATGCCAGGAGCTTTGTCCTGGGGCTGGAGGAGCACAGAGCTCGTCCCTGCCACCAAGGTGGGGACAGCAAATGGAGAGCAGTCAGAAATGCTGCAGCTCCTCTGGCTTTGGGATCAAGCAGGAAACTGCAGCTGTTTGTGCACAAGTTGGAGGAGAAGGGCTCTGGTTTTTCCTTTGCTTCTCCCTGGCCTCCCTGCCTCACCTTTTGCTGAAATTACAATTTATACACAACATCAGGGGCCTGGAGATTGATCCTGACAGTGCAGAGGACTTGGAGAGTGTTAGAGATGAGATATTTATCTGAGGGAATTGAGGGAATTCCTTGGCTACTTTACTACTTCCTTACTTTTGCAGGTAGCACAGCCATGAGCAGGGTGTAGGAGAGGGCACACAGAGGGCTTTGAGAACATTTAAAATAATTTTACCCTGGCCTGCACTGGTTTGGGTCCTCCTGAAGGTGCTGAGCAGGTTCTGAGCTGCCCTGAGCACCAGATCCTTCTGTCCCCTGCCCCTCTCCCTGCTTCAGGTGCTGCAGGGGCTCACAGCTCTATTTCCAACCACAAGTGACAGTGGCTTTGCTGCATGAACAGCTGTGCTATTGCCTTGCCTCTGCTGTTTGAAAATAATGGTGATACATGTGTGAAGTTATCAGCATGGCTGGGTTTCCTTCCTTTAGCAACTCTGCCTTCATTTAATTTTACTTAAATTTGCTAAAATTTAATGGTATTTCTTATTAAATTCTTGTTTCATTTACTTCCAAGTGTTAATACTGCCATTTACTTCCATTCTTCTTTAATTTACTTCCAATTGACTTCCAATTTACTTCCAAGCATAAGTAATTTACTTATACTTTGAAATGGTGGTTGTGTCCCCCTCAGTGACACCTCCCTGCTGAGCACAGCCTCTGCTCTGGCTCTGGGTCCTGCCCAAAACCACCTCCCTTCTCCACTTTTTTCTTCCCAAGGTGAGTTTTTAAGGAATTCTCACTCTGGGCAGCATCTCTGGGCAGATGTGGAACTTTGTGGCATTTCTGGTTCACAGTTCCCCACTGGAGCCATGAGAGAGCCATGGAATGGAACCATGGAATGGTTTGGTTTGGGTTGGAGGCACCTTAAAGGAATGGGTTAAAATTTCAAGGGAAGTCAATTTAGAATGTCCAGCTCTTAAAACTGTCTAGAACCAAGGCAGCTGCTCGCACACTGCAAAAATCACCTTGAAAGGGACAATTAATCCCATTTCTGCAGGAGCAGAGCAGTCCCTGGGTCTGGCCATCCCAGGTTGTGAGCTCAGGGAATCTTGGAATGCTTTGGGTTGGGAGGGACCTTAAATCCCATCCCATCCCATCCCATCCCATCCCATCCCATCCCATCCCATCCCATCCCATCCCATCCCATCCCATCCCACCTTTGCCATGGCAGGGACACCTTCTGTTGGATTATGGGGTTTTTAAACATTTTTTTTAATTTTTAAAATGCCTCTCAGTTGCCCCATCTCTGGGGGCAGATGGGGCATCATCCAATAACCTTCCACCATCCCAAGCTGCTCCAAGCCCCATCCAGCCTGGCCTTGGGCACTGCCAGGGATCCAGGGGCAGCCACAGCTGCTCTGGGCACCCTCTGCCAGGGCATCCTCACCCTTTGAGTAAGGAATTCATCCATTATCCATCCCAAACCCAGCAACTGCCACCCAGACCAGCACTGAGCTCATTGTTCTGCTGCTATGTCGGTGCCATGCATTGGTCACCTCAGCTTGGACAGCACAAAGGTTTCCCTGAGCCCTGAGCTGCCCCAAAACTGCCCACAGCCACTGGACAGGAGGTGTGAAAAAATTTGAAAAAATCCCTTCGCCCAGGATTTTTCTCCTGGGAAGCTGAGAAGCCTCAGAGAAAAGGAAAACAATTCTTATCTCATTTGCTTCTCCTGTGTTGTGCTCATGTGGAATGTGTTTGGGGATTGTTTACCCACAGGTGATTGTTTGATTGGTTCAATGTGAATTGTTTTGACTCTTTGGCCAAGCAGTGCCAAGATGTGTCCAGACTCTGGAAAGAGTCACAAATTTTCATCATTAGCTTTTTAGCATTCTATAAGTATCATTTCTGTATTCTTTAGTGTAATGCAATGTAATGTAATGTGATGTGATGTAATGTAATGTAATGTAGTGTGATGCAATGCGATGCAATATAATATAATGTAATGTAATGTAATATAATATAATATAATATAATATAATATAATATAATATAATAGTATTCTTTGTATTCTATTTAGTATTCTTTAATATAATATAGTATTATAAAGTAATAAATGAGCCTTCTGAGAATATGGAGTCAGATTCATCATTCCTGCCTTCATCGGGATGTTCCCTGTGAATACAATAGCCAGGGGGTTCTGCCTGGTGCAGTTCCAGCTCCCCCAGACCACTTTGGTCTCTAAACATCTGCAGCAGATGTTGGAGCTGCTTCATCCTCACTTTCTGGTGGGGCACAGCAGGTCCTGTGCTCCAGGAGTGGCTGGAACAGGGACACAACCT